GATTGTCGATGGCTAGCAGCGATCGTATGCGGCTGCTGCAGTACGAGCGTGGACGAATTGGGTGTGGGTCGCGGTGATGGCGCATTGGGTGGCGACGTGCATAAATGGGGCAGTAGCCGCGACGGCAGTGAACGGCGGACGGCCGCGGTATTGGGTGATTCGACTTGAGGAGCGGTGTCGATGAGGGTTGCGGGAGTGGCAACCTTGGTGCGGCGGCGCGACTCCAGCAAAGGCGGCGATTTCAGTCGCGTAAGAGAGAAAGGAACGGGTAGATGGCAGCGGCGACAGCGTGTGGTTGCGTCGATTTGGACCCATGACGAAGTGTACGGCGGCGATTCGAAGTTGAGATATGTGAAAACCAGGGAAGACCACAAAGAGAAAAGGAAAAGACAAGAAAAGAATAAGAGAAGCAGAAAAGTAAAAAAGAAGTAGGGACTAGCATTGGCATTTGTTTGGTATGGATAGGACGGCGTGGGCACGCCCTGTAAGCGAGAGTCGTCTGACCAATGCCTTGTACCAAGACCGACGTGATTTGCTGTGCGGCGTGGGCATGCCTCGGAGCCAAAAATCATGTAGTCACCAATTTCTTGTAACCATTCATCTGGCGCATCCCTGTAGAGCCTGGGCACGATTTGGACGCGTAAGTCTTCTGTCCATGTGCGGTTAATACAATTTTTCTTTTGTCAATCAATTTTTTAAAAAGTGTCCATGTGCGGTTAATACAAGGCGTGGGCACGCCTTGGAACAGAAAGTCTGCTGCCCACGAATTTGTGCCCCCAACTCAACATAAAACTGTACCGAACACACTCAAAACTTATAATAAAGATTGTCTGTCAGTAAGAATCCAAACAACCTGATTTAGAACACATGAATATGAAATAAAACACAAAAATAACAAAAATTGAAATTCTTGGATTGCCTTCCAAGTAGCGCCTCTATTTAATGTCTATGGCCAGACCAAAAGGAGGTTACAACTTAAATAGAACCAGGGTCGAGCAAATGGACATTCTCCACAATGCTAATATCTGAAGCATCTATAAATGGTTTGAGACGATGACCATTAACCATAAAACTTTTGTCAATCTCTAAACTTCTAATTTCAACCGCACCATTGGGAAAAACGTTGACAACAACATACGGTGTAATCCATCGGGACCGCAACTTACTTGGTATGAATTTCAACCTTGACTTGAACAGAAGTACCTTTTGCCCGATAAAAAATTGCTTAGTGTGCAAGAGTCTATCATGGATGGACTTTGTACGTTCTTTGTAAAGTTGGGCATTATCGTAAGTCTCCAAGAGAATTTCCTCCAACTCTTGAACTTGGAGCTTCCTTTCCTTGCCATCTCTATCCGCGTTCAAATTGCACTGCTTAATTGCCCAAAACGTACGATGCTCAATTGCTACAGGTAAATTGCACATCTTACCATAAACCAACCTGTATGGAGACATTCCGATTGGTGTTTTGTATGCCGTGCGGTATACCCAGAGTGCATCATCCAATCGGGTACTCCAATCCTTGCGATTTGGGTTGACTATTTTCTCCAAAATACTCTTAACCTCGCGATTAGAGACCTCAGCGTGCCCGTTGGTCTGCGGGTGGTAGGTAGTACCCACTGATGGTGAACTCCATACTTACGCATCTGTGCTTCAATGGTACGATTACAGAAATGAGTGATTTGGTACTGATGATTGCCCTAGGCATATCAAACCTACTAAAAATGTGGGACTTAAGAAATCCTGCAACAACTCGTAAATCATTAGTCTGGGTAGCCTTGATTTCTACCCATTTTGACACATAATCTACAGCTAAAGGAATATAAAGGCAACCAAAAGAAATAGGAAACGGTCCCATGAAGTCCATACCTCAGACATTAAAGATTTCACAGAATAGCATAGGAACCTGAGGCAATTCATCCCGGTGAGATAAACTCCCAAACTTTTGACACTTTTCACATCTCTTACAGAACAAATAAGCATCACGAAACAAGGTTTGCCAATAAAATCCACAATCAAGTATTTTTCTAGCAGTTCTCTTAGGACCAAAATGACTGCCACATACATAACTATGACAATGAGTAAGTATAGAGGAAATTTCCTCATGTGAAACACATCGCCGAATAATCTGGTCAGAGTCTATTTTCCACAAATAGAGCTCATCTCAAATGTAATATCGGGAGTTTTGGATAATTTTATCCTTCTTATTCTTACTTATACCACTTGAAAATTTGTGACTGACCAAAAAGTTAACAATATCAGCGTACCAGGGTTCCTCAACTCTAAGCTGAAACAAATATTCATCTGGAAATACCTCAGATATGAGCACTCCCTCTTCTTCTCGAACCAGTCGGCTTAGATGGTCTGCCACGGAGTTGTCCACCATTTTTTTATCTTTGATCTCCCAGTCATATTCTTGCAATAGGAGTATCCACCGAATGAGTTTTGGTTTGGACTCCTTCTTTGCCAAAAAGTATTTTAGGGCTGCATGATCAGAGAAAACTGTTACTTTCGACCCTAATAAATATGATCAAAATTTCTCAAAAGCAAAAATGATCACTAAAAACTCCTTCTCGGTGGTGGTGTAGTTATATTGAGTTGGTGACAATGTTTTTGAAGCATAGTAAATGACATGGCTACACTTCCCACTTCTCTGACCAAGTACAGCTCCCACCACATACTGACTGGCGTCACACATAAGTTCTAAAGGCAAGCTCCAATCCGAAGGTTGAATGATTGGTGCTGTGGTCAACATGTTTTTCAATGTATCGAAGGACACTTTACATACCTCCCCAAAATCAAATGTTGCTTCCTTTTGAAGTAGTTGGGACAATGGTTGTGCAATATGTGAGAAGTCCTTGATGAATCGTCTGTAGAAGTCGGCATGACCAAGAAAACTACGAATCTCCTTGACATTAGTGGGGTAAGATAAGCGAGTAATCAAATCAACCTTTGCTTTATCGATTTCGATACCCCTAAACGAAACAACATGGCCCAAAACAATACCCTCTTTCACCATAAGTGACATTTTTCATAGTTAAGGACCAAATTTGTTTCAATGCACCATTGTAAAACTTCTATTAAATGATGCAGGCATTGATCAAATGAATCACCGTAGACTGTGAAATCATCCATGAATATTTCAATGCAATTTTCAATCATATCAGAAGAAATACTCATCATGCATCTTTGAAATGTTCCTGGATCATTACACAACCCAAAAGGCATACGGCGGTAAGTAAAAGTACCAAAAAAGTAAATGAAAGTGATTTTGTGCTGGTCCTCTTGGGCAACAGTGATTTGGTAATACCTAGACTACCCGTCTAGAAAGCAAAAGAAATACTTACCTGCCAATTTCTCGAACATCTCATCGATGAATGGCAATGAGAAATGATCTTTCCTTGTAGCCGCATTCAATTTCCTGAAGTCGATGCACATTCTCCATCCATTTTGGAGTCTCATTGGCACCAACTCATTCTTCTCATTTCGCACAAGGGTAATGTCGATCTTTTTAGGGACGACATGCACTGGACTCACCCACTCACTATCGGAGATAGGAAAAATTATTCCTAACTCCAATAGCTTGAGAATCTCTTTCATGGCAGGGTTGAGATTCCTCTGACGTTCCCGTATCGGTTTTGCCTCTGGCTCAAGTAGAATGTGATGCATGCAAACGGATGGATTTATACCTTTTGCCAATGTCCATCCGATTGCCGGTTTATACTCCCACAAAACTCGTAAGAGTTTTTCTTCTTGTACTGCTGTTAAATCATTCGCGATGATGACGGGTTGAGTGTTATGATATCCAAGGTAAGCATATTTCAAGTGCTTTGGCAATTCCTTCAGTTTCAACTCAGGTACCTATTCAACAGAAGGTAAAATTCTCTCATTAGAAGCGGGCAATGGTGAAAATGAGTCTACTGACCTGTTAAAAAATGCAGAAAGTGAGTGTAGTGATATAATTGCTTCTACAGTATCTTCATCATCTATACTTTCCACCTCCTCATTTGTCTTGATCTGTTGCAATATGAATTCCAGCTTGTCTTCCATAAAATTTTGTTCAAAGTCATCTTGCACAATTGAATTAATGAGACAAACACAATTAACAAATTCAGTACTCTACAGAAGTGATTGTCTCCCCGTCATCTGTTAAAAGTGATTGTCTCCCCGTCAAATTCTACAGAAAGGGTCCCTTCATGCATATCTATCTTTGTCCTAGCAGTACTCATGAATGGTCTACCCAGAAGAAGTACAGCTGAATTAGCTGAGTTATCTTCATTCATGTCAACAATATAGAAATCTGCAGGAAAGATAAACTCATTGACGTTCACTAAGACGTTTTCAACCACACTCTCAGGGTAAACATTTGACATATCCGCTAGTTGAATTACTACCCGTGTCTCTTTTAGAGGTCCTAAGTTCAGGGCCTTAAATATTGACAGAGGCATAACGGTAATAGATCCTCCTAGATCAAGCATACCTCTTTTTACCCTTTTCTGGCCTATGATGCACGGTATCGTGAACATACCTGGATCTTTGCATTTTTGTGGCAACTTCCTTTGAAGGACTGCTGACACATTCTCACCTATGCTTGTTTTATCTTGGAGATTCAACTTGTTTCGGTTAGTGCACAACCCCTTTAGAAACTTTGCATATTTTGGCAACTGCTTAATCGCCTCCAGTAATGGGATTTTGATTTCTACTTTCCGAAAAGTGTCCAAAATCTCCTTCTCTGACTCCTCTTTCTTTGTTTTAGCCAATCTGCCAGGAAAATGAGGGTTAATGTCAACGGACTTAGGAACAATTGGCGGGATGCTCACCTTTTCCTTCTCAAGCTCCCCACACTCTCATTCATCTCCTACTTCTGTTGCCTCTGGTTTTGAGGAGTGTACCTCCTTTCCATTTCGTAGAAGCATTGCACTTGCATTTTTCTTTGGATTGGGAATTACCTGAGATGGTAGCTTCCCTTTACCATTCTCAAAGTTGCTCATCAAAGACGCCAGTTATGACATTTGCGCCTCCAAAGTCCTAATGTTTATGCGAGTCTCTTGTTGAAATCTCTGCGAGTCCTGTTGAAATCTCTGTTGGTCCTGTCGCATTTGACAAGTGCTGTCAGCTAGTGATTTAACCATGTCTTCTAGGGACATACCTGCATTCGATATAGACGATTGCTGTACTGGTGGTCTCTGTTGGAAACCCGAAGGTTTCTGAGCATAGCGAAAGTTGGGCTGGTTCCGCCACTCTGGATTGTATGTGGGCGCATAGGGGTCATTTCTCCTTTGGAGAGATCCAGACACGTCTCCTATGGCGCTAGCTTGCTCGTATGGGCCTTCTTGAAAGGTCGGGCACATGTCGGTCACATCTTCGAAAGCAGCACAGATCCCATATGCTTTAATTGCCTGTACTTGCCCTATTGCCATCTGACGAACCAGAGCCGTTAGTTCAGTTAATTTATTTGCCAAGTCAGAATGATTCACCTCATTGACCCTCCTAGTCACGCCCTCAGATCTGACTCCAAACTGTTGAGAATTCTCAGCTATGTTCGAGATCAACGGTTTAGTTTCATCTGTTGTCTTATTAACTAAAGCTCCGCCACTGGCTACATCGACCATGCTCCTATCCATGGGTAGTAATCCCTTGTAAAAATATTGGATCAACAGTTGGTCAGGAATTTGATGGTGCGAGCAACTGGCACACAGTTGTTTGAACCGCTCCCAGTATTCGTAGAGCGTTTCTCCATTTGCCTGCCTAACTCCACATATTTCCTTCCTAATGTTGGCGGCCCTAGAAGCGGGGAAGAATTTCTCAAGGAATTGCCGTTTTAATCCTTCCCACGTAGTGATGGATCCCAATGGCAAGTAGAACAACCAGTCCTTAGCCTTGTCTGCTAAGGAAAACGGACACGCATGCAACTTGATTTGTTCCTCAGTAACTCCCTGAGGTCTCATAGTTAAACACACTACATGGAATTCCTTCAAGTGCTTGTGTGGACCCTCACCTGCAATACTACAAAAAGTAGGTAATAAGTGAATTAAACCAAATTTTAGTTCAAAAGCCTCCTCAATGTTAGGATACGTAATGCACAGAGGCTGTTGGTTAACATTCAGAGTTGCAAGCTCCCTCAAGGTCCTTTGGGCAGCCATTATCTCGTTGGGTCCAGGCAAATTTGCTTCCAGGTCAACTGACGAATCACTTAAGTCCAGATTTTGCTCAAGTCCAGATGGTTGTGCGGCTGAAGCTTGTTGCTTTTGCAACTTCGCCTCCTTCGTCAACCTCCTTGCGGTTTTCTCGATTTCAGGATCAAATTCGAGTCTTCCTGTGCGGGAAGATCGAGGCATAAAACAAAAGCTAAATAAACCTATGCAATAAATCATTTCAAGCACCAGTTCCCCAGCAACGGCGCCAAAATTTAGTGGCTGGCAAACTACAAAAAATAAAATTTATAGTAGACCTACTACCAAAATTGAATGAGTATAGTGGTGAGTAGGGTCGTCTCCTCAGGAAACCGATAGACTTATCACACACAGATAATTGGAAAATTTTCAGAAGTGAGATAAAAGAAACAAATTAAAGATGCAGGGGTACTGATTTGCTAATTCGCAGATGTGTAGTAGCTAACGAATGTAATAAACAATTAATTAGCACAACCTAGTCAAGGAGATAATCTTGGCACTGGTTCACGCAATTGATCATAGATACCTGAATTAATTCACTCGTTCGCAAATAAATTGGTTAAAGCAATTCAACAACCGCCAAATCACCAATTTCTCCTTAATTATATGGTAGTCCAGAGATGCTCTTAAACTACCCTCTTATAAATTAGATAATCCCAGAGACGCTCGAAGGATTTAATCTATTCACAGTTTTAGAAATTAGAGAGACCCAATTCTAGTTAACAAACACACATGCAGGTTCATTTAAACTAAATTAACTATTCCCACGACCTAGATTAGACTGCTTGCGAGGCAATGAAATTGTGCCGTTTGCCATTAATTTAAGACAATCAAATGATACGCACCCTTGTCCTAATTGGCAGTATACTGTTCAGACAATTGAACAACTGGCCACATTGATCCAATAGATCTAAACAATAATAGGCTATTCAAACAAAGAATAATTAAATACCCACGAACGTAGAATTTAGGACAATAAAAAAGATCTCACAATTGTTTGTGCATCGGGTCTTGATTGTTCCTCAACTAAATAAAAAGGTTTAGCCTTGCCGCATAATCACGAATCAATTGAAAGCCTTCATGGAATTTAGTCGATTGAAAAAGCAAGTAAAAAGGATGCAGCCGCTAGTTTTCAACTTGCGTTAAGGAGGAAAAGAACCAAAGTAAAGATACCAGTTACAAGATCCAAAGGTCTAAAGATAACTTCCAGTCTATTGCTGTCTTCTATTTAAAGCTTTTCGCTGCTGCCTCTCTTCTGCCAAACAAGAGTTTGTTTCTATATGGTAGCTTCCTTATTTCTTTCTCTTTGAGTTGTTACCCAAAAGGTCTCCTTTTAATATGTTTCCTGATCCCACGCAGATACAAGCACGTCTCCCAAGAATTGTGGCAACATCCAGGGAGTAGGGTCGCGCGGTCCGTCTTTTTAACGCAGCTCTGCGGTGTCTGGCGTGGGCACGCTCTGGAATGACCAGTCTTCTGGAATTTGCCTCTTTTTGTCACTTTTAACACCAATCGCCTGCAAATAACACAAATACCAAGTATGAGCAGAAATCCATTACTCTGCACAATAATTTGCCAAAATCAAGACCAAACACTAATGAATAGAACGCACAATTATCTCATTATCAAAATTGTATCGAAACTCAAATTGATAGCATTTGCAAGTGCCATCAAAAATGAAAAAGCGGCACCTTCTCATGACAAGGATTCGGGGTACAATGGCATGCTAAAATGTTACCATAATAACTCTTTTGTGACACTTTTCAGGTGCCACTAGATTATAGTGGCACTAGTATCGCTGACACTTTGGGAAAATGCCATTAGATTAAAAAAATGCTTATTACCAAAAAAAAAGATTAAAAAATGCCACTAAAACACATATAAAGTGGCATGTTTGAGTGTCATTAAACGTTAATTTTCTTTTAGTAAATTTTGTTACTGTGCATAAAAAGAACAAACTCCCAAGAGCCACAAATATTATAGAATGAAGGAAGCATAATAGATGCTTCCAAAGAGAGAATGAAAGTGAAAGATAATCTAAGAGCACCCCAGAGGCTCAAACTTCAATTTTTCAAAAAGGATAAGGATGGAATGATGGTAAATAAAGCAACAGTATCAACTGTCAAAGGGTTCTTAAAAGGCATCACTAATGAGGCCTGTTTGTTGCTAGAACATTTAAAACGGTCTAGAGCATGACCCTAAAGTAGCAAGATACTAACTTGCACCAAATCAATCTAAGAGGTAGAGAGACAATTCTTACAAAAGGTCCCAGGGAAAAAAGTTTAGCCCCCGTCTTTTCAAACTGAAGTGAAGACTTTCAGATGAACAGAAGAAAGCATTAAAAGCACACTCTCTATTTTTGTTCCTTTTGGGTGACGAACAGTCATTCATTGAATGAGCAGTAGATTGTCCGAGATTAGATGAATGTAGTGTAACAAGTGATTCAACACGATTGATCCATTACACTCTCAATTCTCAAAAGCTATACGACGTAGAAAGATGCTGATTCATTGATATTTACTGATGATAACTACCGTCAAAATTTTAGGAGTGCAAATATTGTGGAGTTGAAAAGTTAAGGCTACATTTCAAATGTAGTTGCATATGAACACCAAGTAGCTAGGATGATTGTCAGATCAAACTATAAATCTCAGAACAGGAGACCAAATTCTCTACTAATTATTTATGAGTAATTTGCCGCCAAATGTGACATGTAAAATTTCCGCTGGAGTTTCATTTCTTAGTAAGTGATCAAGAGATCACAAGAAGAAGAATCAGCAGGAATCTTGTTCCTTTCTACTCTGTATTAGTTGAAGCATAAGGAAATAACACTACTCTTAATTCTCTTAGATTTAACACACAAGAAACTAGAGATCTCTAAAATATTGAATAAATTTTACTCTGTTAGGGGAGATTGTGTAGTATATCTGTTTTGAAACTCATGTAAGGAGGGTAAATCAAAATTGTAGAACATTCCATATTTGTTAATAACATGTAAAGCTATTCTTTCTTGATAGAACTTAGACCAACTTTACTTTCTTGCATTTTTGGTTCTGTCACATGCGGTATCCGCTGTCAAAAACTTTAGCTGAGGATGCTGATTGAAAGATTCTCAAAGGAACATGGCATTGGCATGGTTTCAATCAAGCCAGGATGGGTCTTTGGTCCCATTCTGCAGTCTTCTATGAACCTAAGTGCAGGATTGGTCCTGGATGTAGTAAATGGTAATCTACTGAATTGTGAATTATGTTGTCTCTCTCTATTTGATCTGTCTAAGTGTCAATAGAGAAAACAAAAAATTTGTTAATCAATTTCATTCCGTTGGAAGTGAGCCTCGATCGATGACACTGTTGGAAGTTTCAAGGCAAAGAACCTTGTTACTTTTTAAATTGTGAAACTGGCTTTAGGAATTGGGAAATTTGTGAGTCTTTTACATGACGAGCCATGGTATGAACTTAATCAGGAATGGTTTCAATTGTTAAGAATTTGTGTCCCTAAAAGAATTGTTAAGATTGTTCGTCGTAATACATAGAGTTGCATAACTAAATAAACTATTTCGTATTCGTACCATCTGTTGTATCTAACAATTCCACATTCTTTTATATCTGTTGTGCAATGTTTATCCTGCCATTAGAGTAGATGTATTGCAATAAAATCATATTGTTCATAGATTTAAAAAATAATTTTGGCAACAAAACTATGTTGTTTATTAACAGAAAAGTAAAAGAAATTGGTTCATTAATTACTGAGGAAAAATATTTATTTGGTTACTTAACTTTGAAGTTTGAAGTCTTGACCAATATGCTTCATCACTTATCAACACATACAAATTGAGTCCTCTTTCTTAATGAAAAGAGCATAATATAGGATCTACAACAAAAAGTTGATGGAAGGTGATGCAAAAGTCACTTGAATCACAAAACAACAAATCATAAACCAATGCGGCATAAACCCATATACTCTCTTAATATTGTTGTGAACCAATTTTTGGACTCTTCAATTTTAAAATTTTTGGTCAAGGTTAGCCTTCTATAGAAAATTGAGAGTTGCTAATGGAGTTAAGAGACTTTTAAGGGGTTTTCTGTCATTGGTTAGGAAAAATCCACTAAACATTCTAAAACTCTAAATTTATCCAAAACTCTTCACCTTTCACTTTGTTAATATAAATTGAAATATTTTCCATTTGTCCTTTTGGTACTCCTTTCCACGATTTTTTCATAAGAAAGAGCAACAATATTCATATTCATGCTTAATGTTGTGTTTGACTTTTTTTAAGGTGCAAAAATTTATTGTCTTCATTATTAAGTGTTCTGGGTGAGTTTTAGGGGTTTTATAATTATTCGAGCCTAACTAAAATCTTAATACGTTTTACAGAATGATGCCACAAAATCTGTTAAAGGGTTTATCAACTCTGCTAGCAACTCTCAATTTTCTATTAAAAGGATCTCCTTAGCCAAGTTTCTAAAGCGTTAGAGGTAATTGACTTGTCATGATACTAAGGGACCAAACTGATTAATGCTTTAATTTAAGTTAGGTTCAACAAGCAAAAAACAGATACATCTATATATACAGAAAGTAGTTATTTGAGTTCTGCATTAATGGTCCAATTGCAACAACCAAACTAAATTCAGTTTTTATTTCTAAATATGTTAGGAAGTAAATCATAAAGTAACAATAGGATAAGAGAAGGAAATGGCAACATTCTCTTCAAACTTGAAAATTTGAGAAATGTCACCAATGCTCATTTCAGTAAAAGTTGGCTGCCATCAGCTATCATCAATAGCTTCCCAGGAATCAAAGGATGAATTTGCTCCAAGATTTGCCAATTTGAACTTCAACTCTTAACCCAAAAAAAAAGAGTATCAATTAATTTTCATAGGAATGACATGTGCAGTGAGCTAAGGTTTAGAAAAAGCAATCGTCACCAATGATAGAATAGTGTAACTAAAGGGAAAATTGCAACAACTAGACCAGTTCTCTGTGTACTTGGGTTGTTACCATCAATGTGTTTCCTTCTTCTTTTTTATAACCACATTAGGTTCCTAATCAAATCACAGGCTTAATTAGACTAAATAAGATGGGTGTATGTTATCCTCATATATTAAGGTCCTCTTCTTTGTTTCTTTAAGGAAAAAAAAAACTTTGACAACTGTATGAGAACCAAG